AAATTACGACGTTTCGATTGCAACACAAGCAATCATCTCTCCCACTTCAGCAAAACATTTTCTTGCTGTGGTTTTCCCACTTGATGATGATTGCTTGTGTTGCAATCGAAACATCGTGATTTAATTTATTCTATTTTATACCTACGTGACTTTACCGAAAGAACCAAAGAGTATGGCTTATGTGTGTATGTACGTATGTTGAACTTGTTTTGCACCGTATATACCCAGCCGTGTTCATCGGAGGTGTGGAGCTGAAAGGACCACAAACTAAACACAGTGCAGTATTGGAGGCCGCATTCTACAACGTAAATAAAGCCGCAGCGTCTCCGTGCTCGGATGAGTGCTGTTCGCAACTTTTAGCGCTGGCTTGGCTTGGGTCACGCTATCCCCAAGCAAACATCTATTATTGTCATTCTTCTCTCGTCTGGCTTGTGTCGGGAAACCACGATGTACGTACTGTATCATTGCTCAGAGAATCCGTTCAAGACCGCACCACAGATTTGAATGAATGAGGTGTCATTTGAAAGTTTCAGTAGATTCACGTAGAATGGAAATAATAAAATAATAAAAATAAAACATAATAAAATAATTCTCACGATGTCTCGGCCACAACGTAAGCAGCCGTCCTCAGGTGGAGAGCAGGTTTGTCGAGTAGACAGAGTCTGACGTCGTGAGAATTATTTTATAATGTTTTATTTTTATTATTTTATTATTTCCATTCTACGTGACTTTACCGAAAGAACCGAAGAAGATGAATACCTGCAGTCAAGAAAGCTTTAAATCGAAATTTCAGTAGATTGTTTCCAGGTGTAATCACAATAATTTGGATAAATTGTTTAGCTTTCTTGTGTTGCTTATTCAAGCTATCGCTTAGAACACCATGGTGCATGAGACACTTCTGTTTTAAAATGATCCAACTGAAAGGCACGAATGAGTGTTGATTGTCACTTGAGTGGTAAATGTCTGACAAAGGCCAGGTGAGTGTCAAGTGAATGTCACATCACCCTGTCTATAGGACAGGCTGCACCCCCAGGATTCAAATATGACTTTAGTGGAAAAATATTCTGACTCTCCTTTTTTGATGTTGTCAAGGAGGGCCACTGCCCACTGGAGAAACCCAATGATCTATGAAGCTCTTTTTCACAGATGTGTAATAAATCCGTTATATTCCAGTATTTTATGTTAGTTTTATATGAATGGCAAAACACATCATTAAAGACATGGCCTGACATTACAATGCTTGACCCTCCAGAAAATGGGCCTTTCGCATTCGCGAAGCCTTTATTGGCACGAATATATATTTTTTGCGAAGAATATGAAATAGAACACTTGACTCAATTCTATTTTCGCGAGTGCGGTTGTGGACAAAATGCATCGTTACAACGCTTGTAATGTGGTGAAACTCGTCGCTTTTTTCGAACGGCGAACGCGAATGTTTAATCTTCATTTACATTTGCCGGTAATTAAAACGCCTTCGGGCCATTTGAGTAGAAACTGCATTGGGGGGTTCCGCATTTGAATACCCTAATTGGGTTCAAGGCGTTAAGTTCACATCTTGCGCAGTGCCGTTGTACATTTCGTACGTTATTTACTGTCAAAGACAAAAATGAAATCCACAGACAGGTACAGTGTCCGTGTAATAAAGGGGGCCCCGGCGAGAATAACTAAGCCAGCATAAGTAGACGAGAGATGATTGAAAAATGTAATCATTTGTAGCGGCTTTACATATGCTCGGAGCGAATTTTTTTTATATTCGTAGTCTTCTCGGAGGCACCTGCTTATGGGAACGATTCACAACCAAAGACGCAACTTTCAGTATTCACTTGTCTTCTGTACAAAGGAGACGGTGATAATACGGCCGTGATGCTGCGGAGGTTTATGTGTTGCAACAAAAGTCTCACGGTGAAATTGTAACCTATTCTGAAACAAGGTAAAAAATAAAGAATGCATACGTGACCTCTGTCATTCATCACAGGGAATTTTACAGGACACATTCGGCATCCTCTCATCAATTTTGGAGGCCATTTCCTCTTTGTATTTGTCATATTTACCATCGGGTTTTTCCCCGTCCGGTTTTCGCCGCCTCGTGGACCGTTGCCCAGCGGCTCTTTCGTTTCTTTGTAGAGCTCTTTCGTTGCCAGCGCCTGACGTCATTGACCGGGTTGCCAACGTCTCCTGGTGCTGAGTGGGAAATGGGATGGGTGAGCCCCCCCGCGCTTTCAGTCGGGGCCTGTCACGCTTGCTTCTACGTATGTACGTTGAAATTATTTCGCATTGTACGTTGCCAAAATATCCACAGGTCCTTGTTGGTGAATTCACCGTTTTGTGGCTCATGGGGGGTTACGTGACCATATTTCACCACACTGGCCTGTATGTGTTGCTCTTGACTGTAGAGGGGAAGGAAGGACCTGTTCCGATATTACTCGCCATTGACTGTCAGCCTTGCCTCGGGTATTTTAACTCGGGTCTCCGGGATCGTAGAGCAGTGCGCTAATCACTCGAGCCCCACCGCTCGTTCCGGTGAGAACACTTAAAACAAATTGTGGATTGGGTCTGGAAAAGGTCGGCCGAGCATATTCGTATTGTGACACCCCGTCTCTATCGGTAACAAGGATAACATCTGTGCCCTGTCGCCGTATGTCCAGATGTCCTGCAGATCGTCGCTTAGAGAAGGGAAGAAATCCACAGGAGCTGTGAAGGCAGCGATGTGAAGCTGCTCGACAGACTCTCGCGTGGCGTTTTTATCTTTATTCTATTTTTCATCCCCCATTTAGAGTGGTGGTTCTCAACCTTTTCGGTATCATGACCCCCCCCCCCCCAATCAATACCGCTGGTCCCCGTGCTCCCCCCCCCCTTGCCAGGTCACAAGGTCACAGTGCACAGAGAGGTCACATGGCGGTGCCTCGAGTTACCGCGATGTCAGCGAGACATTTGTTTTACGTTGCGTGTTTTTTGTCCGCGAGGCATGCATTTCACGATGCGTGTCAATGTTATTCGTCGCTGCTACGTGGCGCTTCATTGCGCGCACTCGCACATTTCTCCTGCGTGATATCCACGCCGCAGCCTGCATGTATGCGTATATGAATGTAGTAAGTATGTTGAAGTTCTTTCACACCGTACGTAGCCAACCGTGATAATCGGAGGCTTTCACGCCCACTCCCGACCGCTGGTTGAAGCGTCTCAATCAGCTTGCGCACAGGATCGGTTCTGTATCGCGAATCGGTGATACACGACCTTCCGTGTCTTGCACACTGGAAGGAAGGGATGATGGTGCCAGTGGCGAATGTACGTACATGTTATGTTAAACTTCCTTCGCACCGTACGTAGCCAACCGTGCTAATCGGAGGTGCAGGGGATGGATCTGGGTAGGTGCAGAGCAGCGGAACCTCGTGTGTCTCTGTCACATGACCTACTGGTGGTGCTCATCTCCATCGGCATCACTGAACTCCGGTCATCCTCGCAGCAGCAGCAGCAGCAGGGTCGGCTTGTGGCTGACCATCGAACAAAGACGGTCGCCGCATCGCGTGCTTTCAGATGCGCTTCTGCGGCCGTCTGGAACGCTCTTCCTTCCAATATTAAGATGCGACTGGAGCTATGCACTTTTAAATCTGCATTGAAAACTAATTTCTTTTGAACTGATTTTTGGCAGTGGCCGTGATGTCTCATAGGACATGCCGCTATTGACTTCCTACAAAAGTAAGAATGTTTAAGTCCTGCTCAACTGAGCACTCTTCTCCTGTATACAAACCTGAGCCAGCGGTGGAAATTCCACATTCCCATGGCAGGGGCCACACTGCCCATAGGGCACCACTACTATGTGGCACTCATTTACAAACTCAACAATAATGGGTTATCATAACAGTTCAAAGCTAAAAAGGTAAAGGTACAGCCCTGCAATTGCTCACTCACGCCACTGCTGCTGCTGCCAGAAGGGTCTCCACTCGAGGAAGTGCTGGAGAGAAGCTCTATGAAGGTTCACCCCTCCACGCTATCCAAGCGTTTTGTAAGAGGTGCGAGTACCCACGCTTTACCCCACCACACGTGACCTACCAGTGGACTAACCGCGGTGTACCCATTGAAACTGCTGGCTGGGGGGGGGGGGAGTGTAGTTTACAAAGCTTGCAGCTTCGGTGCAACTGCCGCGCCGGGAGATCGCATCGAACCGGCGGCGTCTGGATTGCAATTACATTGCGATAACCATAACGCGACGGCGTCGTCGACGGCGTTAACTTGCGACGCGCGTTTGGCTCCGTGCCTGCAGCAAGCCATCGTCGCGCCTTCAGGGCCCAACGAGGCTTGGAAGGTGAGAGATTCGGGGCCCCGCGTGACGCCTGCCGGCCGACGACAGCTTCACTCGCTGAGCAATGGGCGCTCGCGTCGGCAATGGATAGAAAAATACGCACCTTCAATTACCTGATGATCGTCCCACCGGCTTCCTCGGGTCAAAGTTGAACACATGGCTCCCCCATTCAGCAGTTGTTGTTGACGTGGTTCTCGCGGGGAGTACATCCCCGCTGTGGTTCCCGCTGTGGTTCCCGCTGTCATTCCCGCTGTCGTTCCTGCTGTGGTTCCCGCTGTGGTTCCCGCTGTCGTTCCCGCTGTGGTTCCCGCTGTCGTGCGCCTCTGTGTGTGTGCGTGCGCGTGTGTGGGGAGCGGTCGTGTAGCGTTTAGCGTACAGCGCTACAAACCCCGGCGACCCGAGTTCGAATCTCGCTCACGGTCAACAGCACCAGTGACGATTATCTGAGCCGGTTTTGGGACTCCCCTAGGTCGACTCAGCATAAAATGAGCACCTGGCGCAGTGTGTAAACATCGCCACGAGGGAGACAAAGGCGGCCGGGCGTAGTGCTGGCCACCCACCCCCTTCGTGTGCTGTGCCGGCCTTCATAGGTGCTACTCCCGCACAGCACTTACTCCAACAGTCTGTTACAGGCTACACGGGGGATCTTTGTTTTTGTCTTGATGGTGATTGCCACTATCCTCTGCTTTTCCATTCACAGTTCCTCTGCCTGAAGAACATCCGCACGTTCATCAACTGCTGCCACGAGCAGTACGGCATCCGCAAGAACGACCTCTTCGATGCCTTCGACCTGTTCGACGTGCGGGACTTCGGGAAGGTGAGCCCGCGATTCTCTACTACTGCTAACACTAAACTATTTTATTTATTTTACCAGGTAAAGGCCCACTGAGCTACATAGCTCTTTTTTTGGAAGCGACCTGGCCATCACAAGTGATAGCCCAACGAAGTGGCCTGTCATGAATACATTTACAGCAGCCAAATAAGTCAAACGCATGTTCATTCTCAATGTGGAGTGAAAAATCCCCGAGGACCTGGGAGATAAATTCGTGTGACCACGGGGGAGAACATGCAAACTCCAAATTTACAGGCTTCGTCCGAGTCGAGGTTGAGCCCACGGCCTCCTGTATACAACGGGCGAAGTAATTAACATCTCGCCACGGTGACTTCAGTTTTCTTAAATCACGGTCGGACTGGGCGCAGGCCCAGCGGAACAAAACGCCAAGCGGCCAGCCATCGGCAGCACAATTTAAAGGCGTAACAAGAGGAGAGTTAATGCGATCTTCGTGGGCGGGTGGCGAGGACTCGTGAAGGTCCCATTAGCCGCGAACGGAAAGGGGGAAATGCGGAAGGCGGGAAGGGGACTGTGAGCAGGAAAGCTTTCCAAGACTTTGCACCGCTGCCGAGTCAGCAGTCCGCGTACACTTACCAAACAAATCATTATAGGCGAATCGATCATTTCACTGTACGTGTGCATTTTCTGACACATCAGCATGCATTTTCAATAATTTATTTTTTCTGTGTGGATTTAAAGCAATGATGTTTGGAGTGGCTTTGTTTTATGTGTGTGTGGGGAACGGTAGTGGTTCGCGCGCTGCGCGTAAAACCCAGCAACCCGAGTTCAGTTCCTGTTCACGCCCAACACCAGTGACGAATATCTAAACCGGTCCTGGGAATCCCCTAGGTCGACTCAGCCTCAATTGAGTACCTGGTGCGGTGTGTAAACATCGCCACTGGGCAGACAAAGGCGGTCGAGCGTGGTGCTGGCCACACCATCCTCTCCCGTGCCACGCTGGCCTGAGTAGGTGCTTCCTTGGCACTTGCCTAAGCAGTCTGTTAAGTGTAGTGTATGTTGAACTTCTTTCGCACCGTACGTGGCCAACCGTGCTAATCGAAGAGCTAATTTCTGACCGCACTTGCCCCAACAAGCTTACAAGGCTGAAGAGGTGAACAGCACTACCCTTGGTGTTTCATCTCCACAAGTTTGCCTGATGCAAAATTTCGTCCGTCTGTACATTTCCACGATCCCTCACACGTGCATACGTACGTATCGAACAGGAAACAGAAAGCGATTAAACGCACCGCTGATAGCCAATTTACGTAAACAGGAAGGGGGCTCGTTCACCCGACTCTCCCGCACGGCTCGTTTTACGCGCACGTTTCATCCGCGCCACTTCGGGGGATCGCTCAACATTATCGACACTTGTCACGGACGCGGGAAACAATCGCGCGTTCGGGTGGGAAACCCAAACACGAGCTTTATAAAAAAAGATTTAAAAAAAACACTCAAATGTTCGTGAAACGATTTCTCCATTTGCTGTGAGAGGAGAGAGAGGGGGGGCACGGGGCGGGGTAGAGAGATGGAATCAAAAGAGATTATCTGCTGGACATTTTTTTGGTAAACATTCGTCGTAGTTTAACGATTCCTAATGGTCAAGCGTGCTAAGGTTGCAACTTTGTGAGTCACACAGGCAATCAAATACTAATGCCGTTAACCGCACGGGATGTTATAAACCATCCGCGCAGTTGGCAGAAAATAGATAACGGTACATATCCTGTTACAGTGCATGTTGAGTGGCGGAGGTAGCCCGGTTGATTCGGAATACTCCATTACGAGTTGCGTCTACGGTTCCCCACGCAAACCTTGCGGCCGCGTCTCCAGTGCTGGCTGTGTGTTTTGTCTCCGCGTCGTTTGGCGCATGGCCGAGTACAGTACTCGTGACCTCGGCGATGAAGTGACCGCTGTGGTGCCGTTATCGCCTTTCCTATCGCGTCGGTCGCCGGTCAGGTGACTCGGTGGCAGAGCTGAGCGGCTCGCGGTCGGAAGGTTGCGAGTTCAAATGCTTGGTTGGGAGGGGTTGGCTCATCCATCGTCCGTCTGGGGTCGATAAAATAACGACCGCTTTGTGGGGAAATCAACAGTGGTTGTCCAGTGTGGTGACTTGGTCACCCCCGTCATAGGAATGTGGAATTTCCGGCACTGACCCAAGGCTATAAGTAGGACATTAGCAGCCCATCAATGCTCACTTGAGATGGAAATCACTTTGACTTGACTTCTTACCATTGTTATATCGTTATCCCAGTTACACATGCGGGGACGATACTCTTATGCGGCGACGGAAGCTCATTTCATGCTAATCTCTCTCCCATAATCTCTCTCTCCCTAATCTCCCCCATTAACACAACTGACGTGCTTGCGTGCAGGGATGGAATTCCTTTCCAGCTCAGACCCCGCCTGTTTGCCCTTCGCCACGTAAATAACCTCTTGTTGTAAAAGCTCTCTCGCTGTGTTCTTGCTGGTTCAGCAGTTCCACTGCTGGATTATTTTTTCTGCCTGAGGACAACCGCTTGTGTTGCGATCGAAACGTCGCGATGTATTATTTTTTATTTAATTGAATTTTTCTACCTCCATGACTTTACCGAAAGAACCAAAGAGTATTTACAAGAGAGTTTGTCCACCATGATCTCTGCCCACCTCTGATCTCCAGGTCTTTCCCATCACGTCTGGAGCTAAGTGTCTAAATATTACGGTGTATGGCCTGGCTTTGTCACCAAACTCCTGTAGAATACTATTGTAAAGGAGAGCCGACACAAGATTGCAGGGGGTTCGTCTTTTAATCCTTTTCTCCCATCCACACCTGCCCCCAGCCGTCCCAATCTCGTTCCCGCTAAAGGCCCCTTCTTCCCGCCCGTTCTCCCCTTATATCTCCTCGATCACCCCTCCCACTAACCCACCTATTGGTCGGAATCCTTCCCCTGACACCCCTACACTATCCTTGGTTCTTCACCCTATCTGCGGGATACACAATCATCCCACTCCAGTACCGTAAGTTCAAAGCTGTGGTGACCTTTCTCCTATCTGCTGCATTCGCCACATGCATTTCGCACTCATGCATTACAAATGTTTTAACTTGTTTGTTTTTGGTGAGTCTGCGAGTACTTATCGGCTTCTGCCGTCGTCTAATGCTTATCGATTAGATCTCCCGATGAAATAATGGGGCAGGTTTCTTGAATTTTTGTCCACCCATCGGCAAAAATAGGCACACCACAGTGAGTCGATCGCCATGTTGCATGCGGTGGGGTTAAATTGTGGGTACACCCTCCTCCAAGACATCTAACCAGTATGGAAGAGTAGGCCAAATATCCTTTAGAGGGACTCTCTTAGAGTGGCCTAGAGTGGAGTCCCTACTGCCAACGGTGACATGAGTAAGCAATTGCAGAGTTGCACATTTTTTTTTTATTCAAGAATCCAGAATACGGACATTACAGGGGCAGATGCAACTTATGAACATGTGTCGAACCGGGAACTGCAGGCCTGCACCCCTTACCATTTCTAGTCTACTTCATTGCCTTCTTAGCACGGTTATACGTTGCATTTTTGCCATTGGAATGGCACAATACATCAATGATTGCAGTGTGAGCCTCACCTATACGCATAAAATCAGAACGTTTTACATTCCGTGCAACTAGAATCTTTCTTGTATATTAACGAGATATTCGGTCACAAACGACTGCTTGAATTACTTTGGCCGTAACGCAGTTATTAGTGCTTTTCAGAGGTTGCAGCCAGCGCAGTAATGAATAGTCATAATCTGCCCTCTGAAAATGCATAGTTTGAATGAATTGCTGCACGTGGCCATGTAAATACCACACAAGAAGTGATTACAATAATTTCCGCTCCCCCCCCAACCTCCCTCCCCACAAACATAACTCTGCATTACATTCTTTTAATATTGCGTTTTTGCGTACGTCTTAAAACAAGCGGCTTCGCAATATTCACGTGAAATGAATGCGTTTCATTTCCACTCCTCGCGCTGCGAATCGCCCTCGGAAAGTCAACGTGGGAACACATTTCGTAACCGTTTGGAATCCACCCCGCTCTCGACAGCAAACGGGTTCACCCCTTCGCGCACGGCGCGTTTGAAACATCTGACGTGGATTTACTCCCACGCCCATAGTTCTTGTCCAACACTGAGGCGCGTGAAAATAATTCTCGCCCCAACGCCAACGCAACGGCCCTTTTCTTATTTTCATCGACGCGGCGTAGCAATAAACTGGAATTACCAAAAGGGGTGCAACTTGCTCAGCCTCCCCACCGCCCCCTAGATCTGAGGCTCCGGATGAAATGTCTCAAGCTGCCCCTGGCTCCACCCCACTTCGCCCACGCCCCATCCCCTCCACCGCGCCCCACAAGCCTGAGCACTTGGCTTGAATTGTCTCTCAGCACTGGGTATTTCCACGAGGCTTCACATTGGTGCACACGCTAAATTATTATTCTATATTTTTGTTATTTAACCAGGTAAGGCCCACTTGAGCTATGTAGCCCTTTTTGGGTATTGGGAATATTGTTTATATTGGCTATTGGATATATTGAGTATTGGGTATGTTGGCTACTCGATACAATATCGGGCCTGCTGCCTGTGCTACCCGCCGCGGGGAATAATGGCGTTCACCCCTCACTGCGGAGTTGCAGCAGCTGCCCTCTCTGCTCCCCGCATGCATCCTCAGCCCATTGTCCCAGCCGGATGAAAGCTGTCCCCCACTGAGACATGGCCCACTTGGCAAGCACTGGCCAGGGCTTGCAGCGCCTGGCCCAGAGTCCCTGCCATTACAGCTGAATTAAAGGCTAAACATCGGCAGTCGGCTCTTGGATGTGTGTTTTCGGCTTGCGCCGTGTGGTGTTCAGTGTGATGTCCAGCATTCCGCTCCACATGCTGGGAGCTTCGTGAAGGCCCCGTCTGTTTTGTGGACTTCTACAGAGTGCTTGTCACCCTTGTACGCACTGTGAACTGATGATGAGCTTTCTCCGGGCACTCTGGT